ATCTGGCAAATGGACGTCAAAACTGCATTCCTTAATGGATTTCTTAAAGAAGATTTGTATATGATGCAACTAGAAGGTTTTACCGATCCTAAAGGTGCTAACAAAGTGTGAAAGTTCGAGTGATCCATCTATGGACTGGTGCAGCATCTCGAAGTTGGAATATACGCTTTGATGATACGATGAAAGCATATGGTTTTATACAGACATGCGTGAAGCCTGTATTTACAAGAAAGTGAGTGGGAGCTCTGTAGCATTTCTGATATTATGTGTAGATGACATACTGTTGGATGGAAATGATATAGAATTTCTGGATAGCATAAAAGGATACTTGAATAAGAATTTTTCAATGAAATACCTCAGTGAAGATACTTATATATTGGGCATCAAGATCTATAGGGATAGATCGAGATGCTTAATAGGACTTTCACAAAGCATATACCTTGACAAAGTTTTGAAGAAGTTCAAAATGGATCGGTCAAAGAAAGGGTTCTTGCCTGTGTTGCAAGGTGTGAAATTGAGTCAGACTCAAAGCCCGACAACGGCAGAAGATAGAGAGAAAATGAAGTCATTCCCTATGCCTCAGCCATAGGTTCTATCATGTATGCTATATTGTGTACCAGACCTGATGTGTGCCTTGCCATAAGTTTGGTAGGGAGGTACCAAAGTGATCCAGGAGTGAATCACCGGACGACGCTCAAGAACATCCTAAAGTACCTGAAAAGGACCAAGGATATGTTTCTCGTTTATGGAGGTGACGAAGAACTCGTCGTAAATGGTTACGTTGATGCTAGATTCGACACTGATCTGGATGACTCTAAGTCACAAACCGGATACATATTTGTATTGAATGGTAGAGCTGTGAGTTGGTGCAGTTCCAAGCAGAGCGTTGTGGCGGGATCTACGTGTGAAGCGGAGTACATAGCTGCTTCAGAAGTAGCACATGAAGGAGTCTGGATGAAGGAGTTCATATCCAATCTGGGTGTAATACCTAGTGCGTCGGGTCCAATGAAAATCTTTTGTGACAACACTGGAGCAATTGCCTTTGTAAAGGAATCCATGTTTCACAAGAGAACCAAACACATCAAGAGACGCTTCAACTCCATTCGTGAAAAGGTCAAGGATGGAGACATGGAAATTTGCAAAATACACACGGATCTGAATGTAGCAGACCCGTTGACTAAGCCTCTTTTGTGAGCAAAACATGATCAATACCAAGACTCCATGGGTGTTAGATTCATTACAACGTAATCTAGATTATTGACTCTAATGCAAGTGGGAGACTGATGGAAATATGCCCAAGAGGCAATAATAAAGTTGTTATTATTATATTTCCTTATTCATGATAAAGGTTTATTATTCATGCTATAATTGTATTGATCGAAAACTTAAATACATGTGTGGATACATAAACAAAATATCATGTCCCTAGTGAGCCTCTACTAGACTAGCTCGTTGATCAAAGATGGTTAAGGTTTCCTAACCATAGACATGTGTTGTCACTTGATAACGGGATCACGTCATTAGGAGAATGATGTGATGGACAAGACCCATCCGTTAGCTTAGCATATACTCGTTTAGTTTATTGCTATTGCTTTCTTAATGTCAAATACATATTCCTTTGACCATGAGATCGTGCAACTCCCGGATACCGGAGGAATACCTTGTGTGCTATCAAACGTCACAACGTAACTGGGTGATCATAAAGATGCTCTACAGGTATCTCTGAAGGTGTCTGTTGAGTTGGCATGGATCGAGATTTGGATTTGTCACTCCGTGTATCGGAGAGGTATCTTTGGGCCCTCTCGGTAATACACATCACAAGAAGCTTGCAAGCAAAATGACTAAGGAGTTAGTTATAAGATGATGTGTTATGGAACGAGTAAAGAGACTTGCCGGCAACGAGATTGAACTAGGTATGAAGATACCGACGATCAAATCTCGGGCAAGTAACATACCGACAAACAAAGGGGATTACTTATGTTGTCATAAGGTTCGACCTATAAAGATCTTCGTAGAATATATAGGAACCAATATGCGCATCCAGGTTCCGCTATTGGTTATTGACCGGAGAGGCATCCCGGTCATGTCTACATCATTCTCGAACCCGTAGGGTCCGCACACTTAACGTTCGTTGATGGTATAGTATTATATGAGTTTATGTGATTTGGTGACCGAATGTTGTTCGGAGTCCCGGATGAGATCATGGACATGATGAGGAGCTCTAGAATGGCCCGGAGGTAAAAATTGATATATAGGACGATGCTATTTGGTCACCAAAAAGGTTTCGGAGTGTATCGGGTAGTCATCGGATCACCAGAAGGGGTTCCGAGAAGCCCCAGGAGGTTAATGGGCCTTATGGGCCAAGAAGGGGGAACACACCAGCGCACATGGGGCTGGCGCGCCCCTTCTCTTGGCCGCCGACCCTATGGATGGAAAGGGGGGAGGGCTAGCCCCTCTTTCCATCCCTCCACCTAAGAGGAAGGAAAAGGGAGGGGGGCACCTCCTCCTGCCTTCTCCCCACATGCAAACAAGGAAGGGGGGGGGGGCGCCATAGGGCAGGAGCCCAAGGGGGCCGGTCGGCCACCTTGGGGCGCCCCTTGGCTGCCTCCCCTCCCCCCACCTATATATATGAGGGAGGGGGCGCCACACAAACCCACAACAATCTGTTAGCCGTGCGCGGCGCCCCTCTCCACAATTTAGTCCTCCGTCTAGTTTTTCGCAGTGCACGACGAAGCCCTGCGGGAACAAGTTCACCATCACCGTCACCACGTCGTTGTGCTGCCGGAACTCATCTACTACTTCGCCCGTCTTGCTGGATCAAGAAGGCAAGGACGTCATCGAGTTGAACATGTGCTGAACATGGAGGTGCCATACATTCGGTACTTGGTCGGTTGGATCACGAAGGTGTTCGACTACATCAACCATGTTGTTAAACGCTTCCGCTTTACGGTCTACAAGGGTACATAGACACACTCTCCCTCTCGTTGCTATGCATCTCCATAGTTAGATCTTACGTGTGTGTGTAGATTTTTTTTTGTTTTCCATGCAACGTTACCCAACAACCCTCACTCTCTCGAACCCCAACGTGTAAAGATGAACCCGAGCGAACAACTGGTTGGTGAAAATGAGCCCGCCTCAAAGCTTGATGCAATGGCGCGGCGGGATTGTCAAATCCGTCCACCGGTGAGCAATGGCAATCTATTCGCCGGAGAATAGGACAACATCACGCGGGTGAAGAGGAAGAGGCAAGTGGAAATGAGAGAGAGCAAGCGATTGTGAGGCGTGGTTCCAAACCCCCTTGAGAAAGCAACTACCCACCCCCATGTGGCGCGTTTTCCACCCTGGGAATGAACGGTTGGTGTCTATGTGGCCTAAGCGCCCAACACCGAGATTTCGTGCATTGAGATTCGACTGTAGCGCTTGCGTCGCGCCGAGGCAGTCAGGAGTGCCGGGCTCTATATCAGTTTTCATATGGAAAAAATCCTAATAAGCATTAGAGTGAAGAGGACATCTCAATTTTTTCCTACTATACTTAATATGAAAATCTCGTAAACCAAGTGAGCCCTAGATTTCCTTCTTTTCAAATACTTAAGCCAAAAATGGGTCTTTCATGTATAATCCTATATAATCTTGAATGTTTTTCTCAAATGATAAGTGCCACACCTGTGTCATGAAGTAACACCGCCCTGACGTTTTTTACACTAAAGGTGCCATCCAAAAGAACAAATCCCCCAAAAAACTAAAACTTGCCATCCAAACAGAAAGTTGCCATTCTCTCGTAACTAAAGTTGCCATAAAAAACGTCATGGCGGAATTGCTTCGTGCCACACGTGTGTCACTTATCGGTCCATGTAATTTCTTTCACCAGAAAAAAACTTAAGTTTTGTCTCAAAAGGTGTTTTATATGGGAAATAATCAAATCATCCGACTAATAACGACGTGTGCGTCCGTCGCCTTTGTGACCGTCAAATATGATTTTAATCACATGGCTCAGAAGCAATGTATTATCTAGACTAAGTCTTGCAACTGAGTAGTTGTTGCAATCTCCCCACCACAACAACTGGTGTGTTGCGGGATCTGAATCCCCTCGAGAGATAATCACCTCCCGTACTGCTCTCGAGCTCCTCGTCAAGCCACGACCTCCGCGCACTGCTCCGACCGCCGTCGCTATCAAACACGCCAACGAGGCCACCAACAAGTACGGTCGCCGCGGCCGGCAAGCACGCCGACGAGGCTGCTGATAAGCATGTTGACGAGGCTGCCGACAAACACGAGCATGCGCCTCCCATGTTCCTCACAAGCAGTCGCCACCACACTGCTCCGACCACCGCCACCGAGGCTCACTGTCGGCAAGCACACCAACTCCCCTGAGGAGCACCAGCATCCATGGTTGTCGCCTCCTCGAGCTTTAGCCGCAACTGTTGGTGCCACCGCAACAGCAGTTCCTGCAACATTATCTTTGTTGCATAAATCTTCTGCAACTTAATATTTCTTGTAAAAATATCTGCAAATGTTTCTGCAACATCACGTCAGCTACGAAAAAAATTGGCAATACAATCTCTGTTGCAAATGGCAACACATATTTCTATTGTAAAGGGTTTTGTCACACGATTTCTGTTGCATAAGTAAAAGATGACGGTCAGCCAATGGATTGAACCAGATCTGACGGCTCACGTGGCAACGAATGAAAAGATCCGCCGGCCGACGCGTAGCACGCCCCTTTTTATATTATGAAGAAATTAGGCGAAAGTTGTCCTGAATAATCCGAAACACGAAACCAAATTGAAATCGACTCTACGAAACTTTCCTGTTTTCCAACCGGTGTACAGCGAAAAACCGGAGTCGATCTGCGCCGCACATCGACCAAGACAGACTCGACCGAATAGCCTCGTTGCCACACCAAAAACCCTAGCCCGCACATCCACCCCTCTCCGTCCTCCTCCTCGCGCCGTCCCTCCAGTCCCTCTTCGTGCCCCCGCGCCGCCGACCACCGAGCAGCCATGGCGAATCGTAAGTGACGCCAACATCCTCGTCCGTTCCGCTCCACGCCCTATCTTATTGCACGCTTTTAACTCTGGATGCCATCGGGTGGTTGGTTGGCTGATGTGTAGCAGCACCGGCGGCGGGAGGGAAGTCGTTCCTGCAGGCCATGTCGACGGTCACCGAAGAGGCGGCGGTGCCGCTCCGCGTCGTCCAGATGGAGGGACTGGTGATTGCTCTCGATCCCCCTCTTGCGTTCGTTCGGGAGAGTCTGGCGTGCATACGCAGTTTTAGTTCGTTTGATTTTTGTCGCTGACGCGTGAGATAAATTAGGGGTAGCTCTCGCTTTTCGGCGGATCTGTATTGAGATGATTGCTGATTTGACATTGGTGAAGTTTGTGGTTAATTTACTGTGCTGTGGAGCCAAGTTAGTTAGGGGAATATTTATTAATTACAGTACATGTTACATATTTGAACAAAGGCGCTTTCAACTAACCTTTTGCATCTTGAAGTAGAAATGAGTAAGTTATTTTGAAAAACTACCCTTTTGCTAACCGCAACTCCGGTATGATTTGTAGTTCATAGAGGGGCTAGAACAGCGTCTAGTCTATTGCCATAGACCACCGATTGGATGCTCTTTCCTTGTATACAATACCTCCCTGAACCTTTTGCTAGAGTTGCTACATTTGAACATATTTTTCTTCAAAATAAACTCTAAGTACACCGAGAACATCAATCTGTTTAGTAATATGTTTGCACATATAAAAGGGTACTAGTGCTACTTTCCTAGTTTTCTTTGATACACATTGAATAATAGAACACACTTACATATGTTATTATCTGGGGTGCCTACGGATACAATTGATAATGTTGTTTCTTTAGCTCCATTTACCTGTTTCAGTTTTGCATGTTATTGGAAGCCCAATACTGTTAAACCAAAATATTGACCTGTCGAAAAAAGTGTAGACTGGGTTGACACTGAAACAAAAGTTTCACCTGGTTTTAACTAAGTTAGATTAGATCAGCTACAGTATGCCAGTGGTTCATCAGTTGGTATTTCCATGACTAGCAATTGGCGTCTGTATTACTAAACACAGCTGGGCTGGTGTAATTTCTTCTAATTATCATTTGTTTGTCTCTTAATATGCAGGCTGTCCTGAAGATCATTAAGCACTGTGAGGAGTTTGCGCCTGCTCTGGTTACAGGTCAACTGCTTGGTTTGGATGTTGGTAGTGTTCTGGAAGTGACCAACTGTTTTCCTTTCCCTGTGAGTCTTTGACATTCTTGGCGGTGTTACTTCCAGGATACTTGTGATTCATCTGATCTATTGGCGAATAATACCTACCTTACACTGTAGATAAGAGAGGACGACGAGGAAGCAGATGCAGATGGTGCGAACTATCAGCTTGAGATGATGAGGTGCTTGAGGGAGGTTAATGTCGACAATAACACTGTTGGATGGTGAGAAGCTATTTCATCCGATTCAGTATTGATACTTAAATTCATTAAGGAATAGTTAGTGGTGTGTTTAGATATTTGACATGTACGTTTGACAAATTCACAGATCTTCGTGTATTTATGTATTATTTGTCCGTCTTGCATAACTGAACGACCAGAGTGTAGAAGTGTACTGACATACTCCTCGATAGACAATAGTTTTTCATTGTTTCGAATTGACAATCTGTATGCTATGCTATGTTTTTTCTTATATTGATGGCATTGTAGGCCTGTAGGAAATGTTACAGCCAGACATAATTGAGGCATGTTCATTTGCCAATGCAATATGGTATTGCTGTTGGCGCTGAGAAGCATAGTTCAAAAAAGCGCTAGGCGTTAATTGTGCGTTTTGCCACCGCCTTGCGCTTTACTGACCAAAGCGTATGCTTATGCGCAATTATGCGCGGATTAAGCGTAGTTATGCGCAATGCGTTTTGCCAACGCCTAGAGCCTAGGCGCGCTTAAGCGCTCGCTTAGGCGCGCCTTTTTTAACTATGCTGAGAAGTGAGAACTAACAAGTGTTGGTCATAGCTGCTAGGTGTGTATTCTGCCGGTACTTCATGGTTTTACGTTAGCTATGTCTAAATTTCTTAACTAGATTCTTTTCAAATTGACAAGTGTAATTTATCTTTCTGGAACACTAATTCGTAAAGGTTGCTAGATTTGTTTATTATGTGGAGTAACATCAAAACTCGGGGAAATCTGAGGGAGTTAGGGTTACTGGGTTAGCATTTAAGTGGTCTGTGTTAGGTGCTTATGAGGTATAGTTTACACTATTGATATACTAGTCGACCTGTTTACATGTCTTGTTCAAAACGCACTGTATATTTCTTAATTATAAATACACTATTATGAGTTTGTGAGTCATGATGCTTGTCCACCATATTTTATCTTGAGCTACACGAGTATGATGCTGTTATGTTGTTTCTTGCTTACGTTGTGGCTTCTAGCATAACATTCATGTTGTACTCTGCTACTGGATCACAATGTTGACCCTTTGCATTGCTTTTGCTTTTACCTTCCTTACAGGTATCAGTCCTGCTTGCTTGGATCTTTTCAAACCGTTGAGCTGATTGAAACATTTATGAACTATCAGGTACAGTTAGAGAAATGAGCTGCATGCTGGTGTTGAAAAATATTTCACTAATGTTGGAACCTCCCTGTTTTAGATGTTTTTACCGGACCATCCTTTTGGTTAACAGTTTTGAACATGCCAAATCTGTGGTCTACTCTTGAGTTTACATACATATCTATATCAAAGAGTCACATTGTGGTCTACCATAAAAGATGATTTTAGTCATACTAAGATATTGTGTAGATCTAAAAAGGGAATTTGTAGGAGTTTTAGCTTAAGGAGTTTACGGGCTTTGGGACTTGACTAGGGAAGTTACGTTTGTAGTTTTTATCTAGTGTTGGAATGGAGGGGCAGATCCATCTTTTTTTTCAGATTTTCTATGGCGGGCAGTAGGGAAGCCAGACGAATGCACCTATCTGGTTTCTCCTTTACGTGTACACATAAAGAGGTGAAGAAGCACGGATACGGGGACGGAGACACGGCGATAGGCATACGGGGACACGGGATATGGAATTTTCCGAAACAGCCATTTGAGGATACAGCAAGTTCATATAAAATAAAAAGAAAAAATGCCATTTAATATAGAGTTACACGACAAAAAAGAGAGACATCATAATGCTGCCCAATTTGGTGTCTCCTCCATCAATTGGTTGATTGATCCTCCCATAGTCCCATGTCAATGCAAGTTGCATCTTGCAAAACACATCAAATGCTAGTCTAGTACTAGAGACTGAAGAAGACCACACATGATACTTGGGAATTGGGATCTTAAACACCAGGACGAGGCTGCCCTTCACTCTCACCCACGGACGATTGGCTACCCGTACCGGTTGTGGCACTCCCAGATGCCATGCTACCTAACAACATGCAGCACAAGCATTCAAAGAGCAGCAGAACATGGGAGCACCGTAGCAAACAGCAGCACGCAGCAGCCAGCAGCTCAATGGAAGAAAATCATAATAAGAGAGATGAAGATGTTGAGGAGAGGCTGCTGGGTTTGGGGAGTTGGGGTTACCTGCCGTTGGGAGGAGAGGCTGCTGGTGCTGGGGGTAGCGGTCGCCGGTCGATTCCAGGTGTTGCCGCCGGCGGCGGCGGCGCATTCACTGCTGTCTGGGAGGCTGGGAGAAGCACGTCATATGGAGAGCGTGCGTGCAACCGACCCCTGCAAGGTATTGGGCCGAGGCTGTTTTTTGGCCAAGCCGTGTCCCAGACGTGTCATGTACCGTATTCCACCATGCCCCTGTTTATTTTTCTTTTGAAAAAAATGATTCTCCCGCCATCAGGACGGCCAATCGGCAATTTCTGGCATGTCCATGCTTCTTAGTAAAGTGGACAACGGTGGTCTGGTTGTACATTCGTCGGCCTCCCCTCCCTCCAAAATTCAACAGATTTCAGGTGTCAGTGTGTGGTTTCAACAAGGTTTTGGTGTTAGGTTCAAGTTTCAGCTGTATTTCAATTTTCAAGTAGGTGCTTAGTTTTTACAGATCAGGCATTATGTTTCAAGTTTCAAATGCTTTCCAAGAACAATTACTAGTGCAATTGTAAGGTTAAGCAAGGTATACATGAAATGCTGCAGTACGAGCTTCAAGCAAATGATTTTTCAGTATCAGCTATTCAGCTTCATAGTTATGCCTGAGCTTTCAAGTAAACATTTTTCAGTATCAGCTTCATGCTTATCTTTGAGTAGGTCCTAAGGTCATCATGGTTTTTATTACTTGGTCTCCCATTTTCCTTGCTGGATTAACGTTTACATCTCACAGGAGAACATCCGGAGATGCGTGTGTATTGTGTATGACCCATCTAGGTCTAGTCAAGGAGTGCTAGCTCTTAAAGCCCTGAAGCTCACAGACTCTTTTATGGATCTGTACCGCAACAATGGTTTAACTGGAGAGAAGTATGGTTTGGTTTCTGTGACTCTACTTTTTCTAAGTCTCAGACATTGTATGTGCGAATGACCCGTTGTATTCACAGGCTAAGGGAAAAGAAATTGTCATGGGTTGATATTTTCGAGGAGATACCGGTGCGCGCTCTTATATCTTCTGTATAATCATGGCAATGAAATTGATCTCTTGATGTATCGTTTTTTGTTTGTCTCGCAGATTAAAGTGTCCAACTCGGCGCTTGTCAGTGCCTTCATGAAGGAGCTGGAACCTGAGTCACCTGTTTCACAGGTTGAGATTTTCTACTCCTAAATGCATTTGTAGAAAATATGTCTTCTCCTTTTAGCATTTCCTGGAGTAACATATTTTCCATTTCTGGTCCCAGTGTGACTTTGACCGTCTTAAATTGTCGACTGCGCCCTTTATGGAAAGGAACCTAGAATTTATGATTGGGTGCATGGATGGTCTTTCATCAGAGCAAAACAAGGTAACCTTCGACTTTAAAAGAACTGGATTCAAGCGACAAATGTATTTGTTTGACTGAGTTTTCCTTTTAATGTAGTTCCAATATTACTATCGCAACCTAGGAAGGCAACAGTCACAGCAACAGGCATGGCTTCAAAAGAGAAGGTGAAAACAAATACTGAACCATTGCTGTTTATTAGCTCTTGTGTCATCCAAAGATAGTGCCTCCCAGAAGCTAGTACAGCAAATGTGTGGACATTAAACACCCCCCCTTATTGTTTGTGACACTACAGGCAAGAGAACATGTCCAGAAAGGCTGCTGGCGAGGAGCCGTTGCCAGAAGAAGATCCATCCAACCCTATCTTCAAGCCGCTTCCTGAGCCATCCCGCTTAGAGGGTTATCTCGTAACCAATCAGATCTCGAGTTACTGCAACCATATCAATGGGTATGGATTCTGTAACATTCCTATGCATATGTGGATTCATTGTTAGTTGGTTTGGCAGGCCTTTTTGCATGTTTTTTAAGCACACTTGGTGCAGGTTTGATAGGCCCTTGTATTGATTGTTGCCATTTATGATTGCAGGGTTGCTGGCCAGAGTTTCAACAGGCTATACTTGATGAAGGCGTTGCAGGAAGATTAGGTGCCGGGTGGCAGCTGCTGTGAGATTTTAACTTAACACTGTACCGCACCTCAATTTTGCAATGTACTCCATGTGCACCCGCACATTGCCTATTTTGTTTTGCCCAAATCAGATAGTTAAGATGCATTGGGTGGATACCATTTGTTTTGATGGCTCTGTTACCGCTGTCTGCAGCTAAATTTGGTCTGTTTGGTTTGGTTGCGGGTCAGATGGTTCTTGAATCTTGAATTCTTGATACATGAAAAGCGTGAACACGGGTACTTCAGGGCATATTTGGCACGTTTCAGTTTGCTCAGACTGTATTACATATATCTGCTGATGACACTTGATTGGGTAAGTGAGCTGAAATTCTGTCAGTGTTTGGTGACCTAGTTTGCGATAGGTAGTGTTGTCGAATTGGTAAAATAATGAGCTCGGGTACACTTGGATCTTTTACGTTGTGAACCTAACGACGGTGCCTATCAGAAGATCAGCATTGTGCGAGGGAAACTGAATGACCGCATAATTATAATTTGTTTTCTTCTCAAGAAAAAATAATATAATTTGGTTGGACTCCCTCGGAGAGAATTTCGTCCGGCTTGTTAGGATGCAGATGCAGAACTCACTATGAGGCAATGTCCGCAGATTTTGATGTATAACCTTTTAGTATAGACCCCAAAATGATTTTTTCCCCATAGGACTCACTTTTGAGGCATCGGCAGTTATGAAGCATGTTGAAAATGATGAAGACCTATAACTAATTCATCTATGTGGTGTATTGAGCTAATTATATATGTAGAATCCACCACCTTTTTATCTAGAGAGAATTTCTTATTTAACAGTCTTAAACTTTGTTTCCCTATTTGACCCACAATTTTATTTTCTTATCTAGTCTAAAATTTGTTCCTTTTGTTATTTTGACTATCAACGGTGTTGAATGACATATAAAAAGATGATTTTACCCCTGATGCAACTTGTGACCAAAACTATTCATCACATGACTAAAGAAGCAATAACATTTTCCCATTGTTCTTTTTTGCGGAATAACTTTTCCCATTGTTACATGTACAATCATCGTCGACCCAAATGAACCGATTTTAATTAGAACATGCACAAAATCCATATCTTAAATTTCAATTCTTAATTTAAAAATTGGTCAAAACCTCCCCTGTAATTTGATGTCATATCCCCTGCAAATAATTCACATATACATAATTGAGCACATAACATTCAAATTTGTCATAAGCACGAGACGTAAACATCAGGCTCAAATCCAAGTACACATACATGACATACATCATATCCAACTTCACATATAAGAGTCCAAGTTCACACGTACATCATATGAACAACATAAAAGTGACTTTCATCATCCAGTTCACATACATAGTTCAAGTCCACATATACATGACATGAGCAGCACAAAAGTGACTTTAGGTTCACATACATGAGTCCAAGTCCACAAATACTCCCCTCGTCCCAAAATAAGTGTAGCAGATTTAGTACAAAGTTAGTCCCAAAATAAGTGTCGCGGATTTAGTACATAGTTAGTACAACTTTGTACTAAATCTGCTACACTTATTTTGGGACGGAGGGAGTACATCAACATGACCAGCACAAAGGTGACTTTAACTGAAAGAAATCAGATGAAGTTCACTAGCTGAGCCTTCTTTTGCTCATTGTGCCCATTGCAGGATCGATTGGGTTAGGGTTTTTTAGTGCCCATTACAGGGCCGTCAAATGGCACCATATAAATGTTTCATCCATTTTAGCAAGCACTATGTTATTCCTTTTGGCCCTTACCTGTAAGTCTGCTTGCTTTGTAGAAACATGAATGAACTCAGGTTGATTGCATCTAGTTCTTGATCTGCACTTGTGCATGCATGGCAACAGTGATTTTAGAGCAAATAACAACATTAACTATGCATAATACTCCCTCCGTTCCTAAATGTAAGTCTGTTTAGAGATTTCAAATGAACTACCACATATGGATGTATATAGACATATTTTAGAGTATAGATTCACTCATTTTATTTCGTATGCGGTCATTAGTTGAAATCTTTAGAAAGACTTATATTTAGGAATGGAGGGAGTATGTGATAGTAAAATTCAGAACTAGCAGTGGTCGCCTTTCACCCCCATTTCCATTTTTCCTTTATGTAGTCTCTAAACTTTGGCTATGTTTTCCCTTTTTCTTGGTTGTAGTTTCCAAGCTTGGTTATGGATTAGATGATTACATACAAATCAAACTCGGTTTTCATTTGACACAAATCAAGCTTGGTGACGAGAGAGTACATCAACATGAGCAGCACAAAGGTGACTTTAACTGAAAGAAATTAGATGAAGTTCACTAGCTGAGCCTTCTTTTGCTCATTGTGCCCATTGCAGGATCGGTTGGGTTAGGGTTATAGTGCCCATTGCAAGGCTATCAAATGGCACCATAGAAATGTTTCATCCATTTTAGCAAGCACTATGTTATTCCTTTTAGCCCTTACCTGTAAGTCTGCTTGCTTTGTCGAAACATGAATGAGCTCAGGTTGATTGCATCTAGTTCTTGATATGCACTTGTGCATGCATGACATCAGTGATTTTAGAGCAAATAACAACATTAACTATGCATCATATGTGATAGTAAAATTCAGAACTAGGAGTGGTCACCTTTTACCCCCATTTCCATTTTTCCTTTATGTAGTCTCTAAACTTTGGCTATATTTTCCCTTTTTCTTGGTTGTAGTTTCCAAGCTTTGGTTATGGATCAGATGATTACATACAAATCAAACTGGGTTTTCATTTGACACAAATCAAGGTTGGTTTTCATTTGGCACAAACATAGGTGTGGAATTGCTAACCTTGGTAGAAAATACATAGCAACTGCCAAATGAAAACTGAGTTTGATTTGTTCCCCGCCGAGAGCCTCCAGCCACTGCCACCCTCCGTCTCCATCGCTAGACAATGTCGGATCCGTAAACGCGCCAAGGCACGATCCATTTGTTAGCGTGAAAACCGACAAACTTCAGGGTAGGGGGTCCCGAGCTGTGGATCTCAGATAGATGGTAACAGGAACAGAGAGACGATGTTTACCTAGGTTCGGGCCCTCTTGATGGAGATAAATCCCTACGTCCTGCTCTTGTTTATATTGGTTGATATGGATGTGTCGAGTACATAGTTGATCCACCTCGAGATCGTAAGATGTGGTCTAACTCTAGGGCTAGGTGAGTGACATTGCGTTGATGTCCCCTCTACGGGCTAAACCCCTTGGCTCATATACACGCCAGGTAGGGCATCTAGGGTTACAAGGTCAGTATCTTGGCGACGAGGCGGTAGGAGAAGTCTTGGAGTATACACAAGTCTTCGACAGATGCAGTCCCGACCACGCCCCATCGAGTAGCTTCCAGAGTCCACCTTGATAAGAATAAGGGCCCACCAGCCCAATCCGAGGAGCATGGGCGACTAGGTTAGTACCCCCTAGTCCGGGACACCGTCACCGTCCGCAGGTGCGCCATGGGCGTCCTTTGCAGCACGACCACCATCCATAATCCTAAATCGTTGTCACCGCCGCTAGGATCCAGGAGGTCCATCGTTTGTTGGGGGTTGGGTGCGATATATGCCAAAGGATGACTTATCATGGTGGGAGCGAGTAGAACGTCGCCGGTGCCTGGAAGCGGGATAAGGTGTAGACACGTACGCCGGCGAACTTTACCCAGGTTGGGGGCTCTCCGTGGAGATAATACCCCTACTCCTGCTCTGCGGGGTCTCCGCATGATCACTAAGGCACTAGTGATACAAGGTGCTCCTTGAGCTGTGTCTAGAGGTAGGAGAAGGCAAGGCTAGCTCTTCCCTGCCCTAGGTAACTGGCTAGTTCTATCAGAGTTGGAACCCTTTGCATGGGTGGCCTGGGGGGCTTATATAGGCCTGCCTCCCCAGGGGTAGAATGGTAATTGGGCCGGCTGCTGGGGCCCGTCTGTCGGCGTCTCCGGCCTCCGGCTTCTCCGCCGACTACTCGGGCCTGCCGCCTAGTGGGCCCTTTCCACTAAGGCCCAATAAGGCCCATATACCTACCGGGGGGTTCCGATAACCTCCCGGAGCTCCGGTATAGTCCCAATCTCACCCGGAACCTTTCCGGTGTCCAAATATAGTCGTCCAGTATATCGATCTTTATGTCTCGACCATTTCGAGACTCCTCGTCATGTCCGTGATCATATCCGGGAGTCCGAACAACCTTCGGTACACCAAAACTCATAAACTCATAATAAAATTGTAAACGAAACCTTAAGCGTGCGGACCCTACGGGTTCGAGAACTATGTAGACATGACCTAGAACTGTTTCCGGTCAATAACCAATAGCGGAACCTGGATGCTCATATTGGCTCCTACATATTCTACGAAGATCTTTATCGGTCAAACCGCATAACAACATACGTTGTTCCCTTTGTCATCGGTATGTTTACTTGCCCGAGATTCGATCGTCGGTATCCAATACCTAGTTCAATCTCGTTACCGGCAAGTCTCTTTACTCGTTACATAATGCATCATTCCGTAACTAACTCATTAGCTACATTGCTTGCAAGGCTTATAGTGATGTGCATTACCGAGAGGGCCAGAGATACCTCTCTGACAATTGGAGTGACAAAACCTAATCTTGAAATACGCCAACTCAACACGTACCTTTGGAGACACCTGTAGAGCTCCTTTATAATCACCCAGTTACGTTGTGACGTTTGATAGCAGACAAAGTGTTCCTCCGGTAAACGGGAGTTGCATAATCTCATAGTTATAGAAACTTGTATAAGTCATGAAGAAAGCAATATCAACATACTAAACGATCAAGTGCTAAGCTAACGGAATGGGTCAAGTCAATCACATCATTCTCCTAATGATGTGATCCCGTTAATCAAATGACAACTCATGTCTATGGTTAGGAAACATAACCATCTTTGATTAATGAGCTAGTCAAGTAGAGGCATACTAGTGACATTAAGTTTGTCTATGTATTCACACATGTATCATGTTTCCGGTTAATA